ATCTTTTTAAAGCACTCTTGAATACCTAGTAACTTATGGTGTTAATGTTGTCGTATACATCAGTCGGTATCCATGATGGTTCATTTGAAATAATATGTAAGGTCAGCTTGATTATAAATAACAGACATGGTTTTCCATTACTCCTTCGGCCTTCGTTGATACACTTAAGGGAAGGATGACTGTACTCGCACTGAACTGTGAGAAACTGCTGTAATTGTCAAGTTCAACAAGTTTTGCATCTGTTGCTGGCTTCTTTTTAATGTGTCTACTCAGAAGTTACTTCCCGTGTATGCCCCACTGAATTCTATCGATGCTGTGTTTGAAACAATAAGATGCAATTGTCAGTTTGAATACCTCTTGTTTTTGCAAAGCATTGCATTTTCATCTAGATCACCTTAAAGTAGTTTCGCTCAGTTGTTACGTGACATGGAATAGAAGTTAGGTTAATACTTAATCCTTCTTAGAGCGGAAACGAAACTCGATATGAAACTGTTCGTGCTATTTATTAATTCAATACCAGTTCTTTTGCTAACGTCTAAATTTAAATAAACGTTTTCATGCAAATAAACCATATATTTGTTAATCTTATGTTTGCCTGAAGAGAAGTGATCGTCCTTGTAGCATTTCAACACATGGAGGGAATCATGACAGTGTAAAACTATGATTTTAGAAACGAAACAGCAAAGTACTAAGCATTATTTCTTGGACCATGACAAGTGAAGATATATAATTGTGAATATTAATAGTACTCATTTTCCACACACTTCAGTTGCGAGGACTACTGATTGTTTTCGACTGAAATCAAACCATGTTTACCCAACGTCGACTATCACGATTACTGAACGAATCAAATCGCTGTAACCTATTGAAAAGAAGAATTTCCAGTCAAGTTTTTGTCTTTTTTGACAAAGAATACTGTTCTCTCTAGTCAAAAGCACTAGCCATGACCGTGCCTTAACACGTCACGCTACACAGATTAACGTCGATATTCAGAATCAATAGGTACAAAGTTTCACCGGGCCACATTATAAACATTATAGGGGTCTTACAACTGATAAA